CATGCGCTCAGTAATGCACTTTACCATCAAATGTGGAAGTGGAGGTATAGCTCCACTCGTTCTTAACTACCACGCTAGGTAGAGGTAAGTGGTCAGCCACACACCCCGGGGCAAGAGACCCGGGTACGGGCTGGATGAGAGACGGGGTGGGCGCCAGGGCTGTTCTGATTGCTGTGATTGCCCTGCCGAGAATGGCCCATAGTCTAGCCACTACACCGACTGAGCTATCGCGGCTGCCAAGGTTTGGTAAACGAACAAGATATGTGTGTGTTCTGTTTCTGCCATTTTCGTCTTACCTCGCAATACAGACACTTTGTCATATGAATGTTCGGTTCTAAGGAAATCCATTTCGGTGTACCCCGAAAAAGGAGGTAGCCTTTTCTTCCGAAACGTTGGTTACGCTCTGCCAAACTACAGGGTGTAATAACCCAGGAGACAGTAAGCTTCACAGGCGCCCCTGTGAGAACCTCAAATCCCATGTATGGAGGTTATGCAGGTTCATATTTTCTCCTTTCACTTCCCCAGGGAGCCGGGATAGCACAGTCGGTACAGCTGGACGATCGGAGTTCGATTCCCGGTCTCTCTACGTCATCCAACCTCCTACTCAATGGGTATCGGGGGCTCTTTTCCCCGGGATAAAGCTGCAGGGGCGTGAAGCTGACCACTCACCTCCAACTAGTGCCGAGGTGAAGAATACGTGGATGGATACATCCACTGCCCATACGCCTTCATGGCGTAGTACTTTAGTTAAGCACAGGGAGAGCTTTACCTTACCTGCCACTTCCTCTCGCCTTTAGGTCCAAATATTGCCCTTATCAGCAGATGTCAGACTCTTGTCTCCATATCATATTCATCCCTTAGGACTCAATATTCGCGTCTGTACACCGCGACGGAGCGCCGCTTTGGCTCCGGATCTCACCGTGCGTTTAGGAGTTAGGCACAGATGCCAAAAATTCCGTGCCCGACTGACATTTCCCCCTTTCAGTTAATTACTTCTAACTGCCCAGCAGTTGCACAGGATGGGGCAGAGTCCCCGGAAACAGGAGCAGAACAAATGGTAGCGCGTGCTTATCGGCGTAACAGGGTCTCACCTCAGTAATTCCTTGCTAGGAGAATTTAAATTTTATATTGTATTGTGTGTACGGAGCGTGTGTCAGGGGAGACCGTGCCTCTAGTAGGCAGCCTTACGGTAGAGAGGCCCCGTGTGCTCCACAAGGTCCCCGATGTAGCGATTTTGCTTCTCATCCTAACATGAAAATGGAGCCTAGCAGCTTTCTCATCATGACGTAACGATGTACGTCACCATCTGATGATGACGCACCCTCAGAGATGTTTTGAAGGGTTTATAGATGAAGAATACCCTCTTCTGGGATGTGGCGCCATGTAGATATTATGTTAACGGACGTTTCGGAGGAACGTATCGCCTCCATATTCAGTGTATAAGACATCCGCGAGCGATGAACCAGCGTGAGCAAGTGGCTGTAGACATGTTACAGGAAGTGTAGCACGAATGGGATAGAAGAGGAATGCATGTAGGACATCGCTGAGAAAGCCACAAGGAAAGAGAGTACTAAGAAGGTCATTACGTAGGTGGGTGGATAATATTAAAATCGATCTTAGATAGGATGGGATGGTATGGATTGTATTAATCTGGCTCGGGATAGGGACGAGTGGAGGGCTCTTGTGAATACGGTAATGAACTTTTGGGCTCCGTAAAATGTTGAGAAGATCTTGAGTAGCTGCACAACTGGCGGCTTCTCAGGCAGGAAGTTATGTGTTCAGCGTTGCTGTCGGTGTCCCAGACGAGTGTCGGGTAGCAGGGACGATGGGCGGACAATGGGTCGGAAAGGTTGAGGGAGGAAGTTCTGTCGCGGCATTTGAAAATCGCGGAAAACTGCCGGTCTGCTGGCTGAGATTGAACCCGGGACATCAAGCAAGTTGGCTCAAAGGGTATTTGTCTTCAGGAAGTACCCAGTTCGTATGTCGACCTCGATACGGACTACCCAGCCCGAGTTTCCATCTAGGCAAATGCCCGCATGTACTTGCATGACGTCATTACTGTTTCCTTCCAGATCAGTTACAATTCATCGTCGATAAACAGCACTGTTATTCGACGCTGTAGAGTCCGGGTGTACTGGCAACGAACTAACCTGCAAGTAGACCACAGCACGGGGAGGGAAGTAATTTCCCTCGCAGGGAATAACCGTGTCGGGAAATGTGACTTTGCGTTTCGCTTTTATGCCGTCTCTGTGCAACGTCAGTGAGCCGGGGTAGCGCACTCGGTATACCGACTGGCTACAGGCTGGACGCTCGAGGGGTCGGAGTTCAAGTCCCGGTGGAGTCAAGAAGTTTTTTCTCTTCTCCACGTCGTCCAAACCGGCTCTGGGGCCCATCCAACCTCGTACCCAATGGGTACCGGGGGCTTTTTTTTTTCCGGAACTAAAGCGACAGGGCCGTGAAGCTGACCACTTACCTCCAGCTAGTGCCGAGATCTGTACACCCTCTCTCCCATATGCCTTCATGGCGTAGTGCTTAATTAAGCACAGGGGCAACTATACCTTATGTGCAGTTTGGATTATTATTCACTCCTCGTTTTTCTGTATTGACATACATGTTGCGGCCCAAGCGGCCATCTTCAGATGTACAGGTTGGTGTGATAAAGGACTCTGCTGTTAACAGTAATGCTGTCCTGTTGCCCGGAGTGCTTCTGCTTGTGTGGATATCTGTCCTTGAGCCGCACGCGTTTGCTCTACGGTTTCGTTGGTTTGTTGGCTGTGCCTGTGAGGCGGGAATTTGTTGTGTGGTCGTTCACCTGAAGACAGCTGTCCCGGCTGTTGTATTTCGGTACACTGGTTGTCACCACGATGAGACGCATCGGCGTCACATATATTATGCAGATATGTGGATGTGACCTTGTAGCAGCAGCAATATTGACGGAACTCGCTGATAGCCATGAGGACGCCAGCGAATGGGCTGGGGGGCAAGGACCTGGCCGGTGCTTCCGCCGGATGTCGCGCCCTCACCTCCTGTTCCATGCGTCCAGTGGCTCTGGGAAAGTCACCGTGAAATGTGAAGCAGTCTCCATGTTAATGTCCTTACCAGCAGACAGCAGGGATTTCGTGTGCGCTGTGGGATGCTTCTTCTGTTCTTGCTCATTTTCTTTCTTCTTCTTGTTCGCCATTTCCTCCTCTTCTCACGCCCTTTGTCTTCCAACTCAAGGACTCGGTTGCTGCATTCCCGTTAGGGTGTTCAGAAGTTTCGTAACTTATCTTTCTATTTACTTCGGATTCACACGTCACGCGGCAGCGCAGTTGGTTGAGGCACTGTGCTACAAGCCGGAAGGTCGCGGGTTCGATTCCCGATGTGTTCTTCGGATTTTTCAATTGACCTAATCCTTCCAGCCGCACTATGGCCCTCGGGTCGACTCAGCGTCTAACAGAAATGAATACCAGGAATCTTTATGAGGGGTTAAGGGCGGCCGGCGCGTAAGGTTGACAGCCTCACCGCCATCTGTGAGCCGGTTGTCTAGAAAAGGTGGGAGCCTCGACGTCTTACAACCCTATGGGCCCCCACGGCCTGTTACAGGGGCAGCTTTACCTTGTTACTTTATTATTGGGGTGAGACTGAGTCCACTTCGCGTTGCGACCACTTCCGGCCTCTGGACGAGCCCCAGACGATAGCTGATGGCGATTGTGGAACATTTGGTGGGATGAAGATCGGCAAGGGAAACCGAAATGCTCGGAAGTGAGGCTGCCCTGGTGTCACTTTGTCCACCACAAATCCCACATGACCTGACCCGGGTTCCAAACCGGACCGCCCCAGTGGGAAGCCGGCGACTAACCGCCCGAGTTATGGCACGGCCATCACAGAGACCTTCATGCAATGTCCAGAAAGTAAGAACGGTGTTGGTATAGCGACTGGCTACGGGCTGGACGAGCGAGGGTTCGGATTTCGAGTCCCGGTAGGGACAAAAATTTTCTCCGCGTCGTCCAGACCAATTCTTGGGTCTACCCAGCCTCCTATCCAATGGGTACCGGAGGTAAAGCGGCCGGGGCGTGACGCTGACCACGTACCGTCACCTAGTGCCGAGATCAAGAAAACGTGGCTCTATACATCAAGTTCCCCATACGCCTTAATGGCATAATGCTTAATGAGTTAAGCACAGGAACAACTTTACCTTTTTACCTTTACGGAAATGGTATCCGTGTCGAGCACAAAGCTGTTCTTTTGACATCCATTTTGAACATCAGAAACCTAATATAATAATAATAGTAATAATAATAATAATGATATGTAAAGGTATCCCTGTAACAGGCATTGGAGGCCCATAGGTTTGTGAGACGTCGATGCTCCCATGTTTTCTAGACAGTGGGCTCACAGATGGCGGTCAGCTTTACACCCCGGCCGCCCTTTAACCCCAGTAAGATTCCTGGTACTCATTTCTGTTAAAGGGTCTGGGTCGACCCTAGGGACACAGCGCGGCTGGAAGGATCAGGTCAATTGAAAAATCCAGTGACCTCACCGGGATCCCAAACGTCAGAAAGTAAACGAAACTTTTGTGGTAGGTTTCCTGTCCTGTGGGATAGCTGTCAGTACAGTGACTAGGCTACGGGGCGCACAACAGAGGAATCGGGGTTCGATAGCCGATTTTTCCGTTCTTCACAGTATCGAAGGCCGGATTCCAGCCCAGTGGTACCGCATGGGGGAAGCGAGACATTTGTCCCCACCCCCTGGATAATAGAAATGAATATTGAAGAGAAGACCACTACTCCACGTATTGAAGGCATTTCCTCAGAGAATCCGTAGAGAGCGCCAGGACTGGCTGAACTGCAACTTTGTTAGGAACTTGTCTGGTTGTCTGGTGCCCTCCCCACCGGTACTAGGCGGAGGGTGTGAGATCGCGGTCGCGCGCATGCGTCCTGTGTCTGGAACTTGCGTGTGGATGCTGAAATAGTGTGTTGGACCAGAGTTTCTGATGAGTTGTTCTTCATTTGTTTCAGATGTAATGGACGCAGATTCGCCTTCTTCGGAAAATCGGTGAGTTCAAGAAATCAGTTTCTCTGTTGAGTGAAATACCATTTCCTGTAGGGACTTCTGAACACACTGTAGCAGTGCTCCTCGAGCCCCTCCTGAACAAGCGTTACGTCGTCGTTAAAAATGTATTAGATTCTGTTTTCAGCTTAGGATGTGAGCCCAAAATAATCATATCCTGACCGAGATGTTCCGTTGTTTTTCCCAGTCCCTCCAGGTACATCTGCCCCCTCTCCCTACGGCTACATGGAAGAGGAGAGAGCGTTTCCACGCATTTTCTAAGTGATGTTGCGCCACCCACCAATTCCAAGAGATCAGGAGTGGCTTAAACGCAAATTTGTAAACGAGTTTTTGCTGTCTCCCCTTGGATAACTGACGGCCCCCACCCCGGAAAATAGCCCTGGAGAGGCCCGTGAATTTGTTGAGTAAATGAGCGACTATCAGCTGCTTAAAAAAGACTCTGCTGTTTGGAGTCTAGTTAGTTTCTTTGGGTGGGGTGAGACAGTCCACTTGGTGCGTCGACCAGTAACTGGCGAATTGTACCAGCCCCAGATGTTAGATGAGTATGGACCAGTCTGTGGGATGAGAATTGGCAGGGGAAACCGAAGTACTAGGAGAAAACCTGCCCCAGTGCCGCTTTGTCCACCACAAATCCCACATGACCCGGCCTGGGCTCGAACCCGGGCCGCCGGCGACTAACCGCCTGAGTTAGGGCACGGCCTAGTATGGAGCGCCTTACGTTATGTTGCACCCTGTTCCCAAACCCACACGTAGCGATGTGCCCCCGTACAGAGCAGCTGGGAGTACAGGCAGGCTTACTTCAGTCGTCATCTGCTTAGAGAACAGACGGCATGTTCGTTTTGCCAAAGTTTTCCTAACGAATTATTGCCACAGTTCGTTTTTAATATTTTTTCCGGATATTTTAAGGGGGTTGGTTGGAACCCAAAATTCCGTTCGATGTAAGGTTCTTCATGCATCGCCGAGAACTCGTATGTCTTTATTCCGCAATTCTGTGTCGAGTCTTCGAACTTTCTAAATCAGTAGAATCCGAAGTTTCTACCTGCGCCCAAAAAAGTCTTTCATGGTCTGGGGGTTGGTTCTGGTAACGGTTGGCATTCCAGAGCTGGTCTTCCCGCCACCTGTTGCCCGGGGGATGATGAGGGTGGGAACCTTGAGGAGTCATTTACTACGGCTGGGTGGCTAGCCTCGCGTTCATTCATGTGAGTTTTAAGCAATAGGCCCCTTCTCACAATATCCTTCTCCACTCTTCAGTTCCTGAGCATTGTCCTAATGCATTTGAAGCAGGTTTACTTCTCTGGACATGGCAGCAGGACCCTTTGTGTCCTGGAAACCTTGAATGTGACAGTAGACGCCATGCCTGTCGTGGATAAAGTCTTCAAAATTTTCTGCAACATATGCGAGATGTGATCTGACTGATGAGTATGAACATGGGCAGCCTTGTGGAATATGCCGGCCGTAACCAACGTTTCGTTGGAGTCTGCTGCTTCCATCTTCAGGTCTTATTTCCAGAAGATGGAGGCCGCAAGTTTTCTGGAACGGTAAGGATCTGCAAGGCTACACGGTGTCATCCAAGAAAACAGTCCTTATGATGTCCCTCAAGAGTTACTTCCGTTTCGGAGGAATCCACTACCTCCTTCCTCAAGTTTCTGATGTGTCTTGAAGGTTCCACAGAAATGTTAGTAAGCATCTGCCAGACTACACGGCATCACATGCCAGAAAATATCTTAATGCTATCCTTCAGGGATTCCCTGGACTATCCTGTTTCGTATTTGTTGCAATTCTGCCCAGTTCTAAGATGGCTGACGTGTTCCATTAGCTGGAACAGAAATTTGAAATAAATGTTGGGGTTACGGACTAAGCTGGCGACTGTGTCCAGGACGGTCGCTGGGACGCATAAGAGGACGTGAAAGGAAACCCTACAGAAGTGGGTGGTGTAAGGGTAGGACTGTGGCCTTGTAATAAAAGCTGATGACTTTTTGTGTGGCTGTTCCCGCGGCAAGGACAAGCGTACTGGTGGATAGCCACAAATCATTTGACTTGGCGTGCAGAAAGTGGAGGTATGGCACCACGAACTCATATCCTCAGCGCTGGATGGAGTCTAGCTGTCAGCTGCACGCTGCAGCTTCTGTGTGGGTTGGCCTTGTCCTGTAGTTCTTAACGAGATATATTGTTCATGGCTTGGGAATGAATACATTATTTGCAATTTTGCAATGCACACCACTGTGGGATTGAAAGGGTTGGTGCGTGTTGTGTGTACTAGGTAAGGTAAAGCTATCCCTGTAACAGGCCGTGAGGCCCATAGGGTTGTGAGACGTCGAGGCTCCCACATTTTCTAGACAATCGGCCCACAGATGGCGGTGAGGTTGTAAGCCTTGCGCATCTGCCGTCCTTTACTCCCCAAGAATATTCCTGGTACTCATTTCCGTTAGAGGCTGAGTCGGCCCCAGGGCCATAGTGCGGCTGGAAGGATTAGATCAATTGAAAAATCCATTGACCTCATCGGGAATCGAAGTTGGACGTGAGGCTCTGATGGCGGTGACTGTTATCTGGTATGTGACGCCGTGTAGGGAGGTTGGAGTTTTGAGTGGATTCATGTGGCTGAGGTGGGAACCGGCGGAGGGCTGTTGTGAGCACTGTAACGAACCTCCACGTGCTCTGGAGGCTAGCTGTGGGACGGGACGTGTGGATGAATGAGGACGGCCCCACTGCGGCTGCAGGTATCCCGCACCTGCCGAGCCCCGAGCCGCGGTTTCTCGTCCCCTGTTGCACCTACACCGGTTACGCGCGTGAGGATCAAACTGTCATCTGCGGAATGTGACGCCGACATCATCGTCGTTTCGGAGTAACATAGTACGTCATCTGTACTTACTCTGCTAGACCACACGGCGTCACGTCCCCCAAGACGAGAGTCTTGAAGAGTGTTAGGTAGGCCGCACACCGATATGCTTCAAGACACAATGTCTGCGACATGACGCAAAGAAAGGAGCACAGTTGAAACGAATGAGATTATGAAAACCGCCGCACACCGGTCTGAGTCACGATGCTGACGTAAGCTTCATGCTGACCAATCACGAACGAAGTAAGACTGCCTCTTTTGTTTCATGTCTTGATGTGTGCCTTGACGCAGTTGGTGTGCGGCCGCCCTGGATATAACGCCGTGTCTGGTAAGATTTTACTTACGTTTGCTGCTACGTTTCTGGAGATGGAGAGAGTACGTCCCGAAACGTCGATAACCTTCTGCCATCAGGTTACATGGCTTCAGATCGTGCATCTCGCAATGTACAGGCTCACCGCGAGTGAAGCGCAGACATATTGAGGGTGTTTGAGGTGAGGCGCCCAGTAACAGTATGCGCGGAGGTAAAGTGGCCGGGGCGTGAAGTTGTTCGCTCACCTGTATCTAACGTCGGAAAGAAAGAATGTGTGAAGTTCTGCCTCCACGCTCCCTATACGCGTTCCCAGCAATACGATTGCCTCAGTGAGGCCGAACTGGGCTTCCCGCCTGTTTGTTCTGGTTTTCTGCTTGGTGACTCGTTGGCCAAAAGGTGGAGGTGATGCGTTCCTCCGACCTACTTACCGCATGCTGCTGGGGGTCATTTGCATGATGTATTGTTTGACCCTGAAGCTGGAGGCGATATTGTCCTTCGAAAGGTCGGGTCTCCGAACCACTTGCCTTCTGCTTCTGCTGGTTTGTTGTATTGGCCTACCGGCCCTGAAGATGTAGCCGATATATTCTTGCGAAACTTCGGCGTGTCTCCAGACTATATGGAGTTACAACCTAGTCGATCGGTTAAATTCCTGCTGGCCCTCGCCAGCACAATCATTCATGGCTTCAGATCTCGTCGAAATCGTTGACCAAGATTTTTGTTCTCTGCTAGACATGTGCGTGTTTCGAAATGGGGCCTCATCTTCGACGAGGGAGGTGTCGGGTCTTTCTGTGTAGGCGCTACGTTGGTTGCACAGTTGTACCTGAGTTCCGTCTGGTAAATTGCTGCTGGTCCTCGCCAGCACTGTTATTCTTTGTTCCAAGTTCTGTGGGACTCATGACTAGATGTATCAGATTCGAGACCCCCCCCCCAACCTGGAGGAGCAGGTCTCTGTATTTATATCCCCTAGTGACGGTTTGACCCAGCTATAATCCCCAGGTACCGGGTTCGCTTTCCGTCGCCTCCTACGACTCGCAGAGCTACGGCGGAGGTATTCTAACCCGCCTCCACGCCGGGGCGGGCGGTTACAGCTGTTCATTAGTAGAAGCAATAACTGCGTGGGGGGCTGTGTGGACTGAATTGGTCCTTGCGACTGCAACTTTTACCCACAAGTGCATCTCTACCTGTTGTCTGCGCTGTACTGCTTATCTCTGTCAGAAGGAGCGACCTTTATCAGTATTCTTACCTGGGTGTAGCCAGGGGCAGCCTTTCAGCATTTCACTCACTGGCTATTTTCTTTCTTCCATACATTTTTTGTGCGCGCTAAACAATTTTGCTCCTGGGGCGGGTACATATTTGCGTGGGAGGGTTGAGAACGGAAACCGCCACTCCCTTTCATAACTCTTGGATAACAGTGCCTTATTTTCTGAAGGAATGGTTACAAAGTAAAGTTTTTGCTTCATACATTTATGTGCGCTTTTATAAAATGTATGGGCGAAAAAATGTAGCACGAATGGGAGAAGTAGTTACTATAGGATTCTGACGATGGTGTATAACACACTGATATGTTGGGTTTTTGGACTTTATCCATCGTCCTGGTTTTTAAGATAACAAATAAAAAAACACGACGTTTCGGAAACTGGATCTGTTTCCGTCCTCAGGTGAAGGAAANGAATGGGAGAGTTCTACTTCAAAACCTCAAGTCATAAGATCCCTTCTGAGACGTAGATAAGAAAGTAAAGCTGTCCCTGTAACAGGCCGTGGAGGCCCCGAGGGTTGTGAGATGTTGAGGTTCCCACATTCTCTAGACAGTCGGCTCACAGATGGCGGTGAGGTCAGCTT